CCCCAAAACCCCAAAACCCCAAAACCCCAAAACCCCGTGATTAATTACCTTAAATAATTTATAGATAATTAATATCAAATATAATCACTGAAATTTTCTGCAATCGAATAATAGTTTTGCTTAAATAACTTTGGTTGGTAAATTTAGTAAAGATCATCTATTAATTTCTACTAAATAATCTCCTTCTTTTAATAAATATTGATAGGCAATGATATTTATCTGTTAGAAATCACTCCGAATAAACTTTTATCAAATTGAATAACGATTTCTAGAATGAATTAGTTTTCCATAAATTAGTTATCGACTGTGTACTAAGTTATTTCTTTCAACCTTTTCAATTAATCAACAAGTCTCTAAGACTACTTATTACTTAGAGAAGAATTGCTTCTGGAAAGATTTTTCTAGCTTGCCCCCATTGAACTATTTGAAAATACAGATGCAAAACTCGATTCACTGATCATAGCAGAATTGTTGCTACCATTTCTTTTTAGTTACTTCACTTAATCAATAAATACCCATAACTCCTTTAAGTTAAAGCAAAAGGATCTATTATACTACTAATAGCTGCCGAAAGCTTGCTTAAATTTAACCTCTTCTGATAAATCTTCTGTTTTAAAGCACAAATCATACCTAAACTACTTGAAAATAGTCTGTTGCTAGATATTCTTGATGGAAGTCACCATTTTAATCGATGCTGAAATACTTTGAAGCTTGACCCTTATAGGTTTGTCAACTTGATTCATGTATAAATTTGGAAATACCTCTATTTAGACATTTGCTTAGATTGTATCAATGTTAGAGTATCTTTTCTTATCGAGAGATAAATGGACTTTATAATTAAGGAATCTTTAGAGTGATTCTGAATAAGTATCCTGCAGGGCTCTCTTTGGGGTGCAACATTATTTTAAAAAGGATAATAGACCTTTGTCTCTTTGATAGGATTCCTCTTCATAGGTAAATACCATCCCAGCTTTATTTGTGTACTTTCATTAAATTTAAACACTTGAAGCTGAAGATAGTCTAACACTTTGATCATTGAGATTGACGTGCAAATCTTAATTTAAAGAGGGCACTGCTCCTTGTTTTATAGAACTCAAAGCTTTGCTATCTTCTTCATAGTTTTGCTTGTTTAATTTATTAGAAACCTTTTTCTTAATATTTTTCTCATAGATCTTAAGAATCTAGATTTCCTTTTCAAGCTTTAGATACTAGCATTTCTACTATTTATTGATGAAGAATTATTTCTAAACAACAGGTACTAGAACCTTCATTTGATACTAGATTCCTATTGATAGAGACTACTTTTCGAGAAATTTCATTGATGGAGGAAGTCTGTCCTCCAACTTGATGATAAAGGGTATTTGTAATTGCCCTTTGCCTAGTTAGTTATCTACTTTGAATAGCTTATATTAGGTCTTTAAAAATTAAATGCTTTACTTCTACTGACTGACTTTGAAAACATTACTCTAATTAGCTTTTCCTTTGATAAATGATGAATTTTTAGACAAGGATCTCTTGTTTGAATCTGATCCCTCAGTATTTATGAATCTTATTTTCCTGGACTCATTTATCTATTGATTTGAGCTTTGGTCGAATTTGGAACTCTCACTTGCCCCAATTGCTTTATTTATAAAATCTCCTAAAGTTATAGTCCCTTTCAATTGCAAGATTATGTTTCCTTTAATTGTAAACTGAGAGTTCTAATCATAAACATCAATTAGTAGAAAGCCATTGATAGATTCATCTGTGTAGTATTAATGACTGTTTAGTTGGAGTATCATGTAAAATCCAAGTTTATTCTCAAGCTAAATATTGTGAAGTTACTATAATTGCTTGAACTCCTAAGTTTTAAAATACATCGGTTAATCCTCTAGAGACATAATAGGATTAACTTCGCATTAAAATTTCGAGGATACTTTCTCTTGTGACTAAACAATTTGAACCTTCTTTTTATCACTAGATTCAACTCTTCAATAATTAGAATTCAACTTTAAAGGATTTATTTTATATATCTCGTCTTTGAAGGCTTTAGTCTCAAATGATGATTCATCCATCCCAAAAGCACTTAGATAGTCTGATTATTTACTTTCATTCATTATTCTCAACTTATCTTTAAATTTTTAAATATTATTAATGTGATTACAACAATATTTTTTCCTTTCAAATTTTTGAGTAGAAACTATGATGGGGTTTTGGGGTTTTGGGGTTTTGGGG